GTTTCGAAAAGAAAAAACCGCCTCGAGAAAGCTGGGAAATTCCGAACACCTCCCTGCTAAGTTTTCTTATAAGGGTGCATCATTTCTCAATACAGCGGAACATCGTCAGTATCGTTAGAGGATGAGACGGAGTACCTGACCCGATGGGGGTTACATCAAGAAGAGGGATGACCAAAAAGACCAGTACTTCGATCTTGACTAAATTCTTTCAGTGATCACCCTATTTTAGTCCTCTTTGAGCAACGTGCTTCTGCACAGTGGCTTCGCGACCAATGCTACATCCACAACGATTATGATTAGGATGAAAACTGTATTCAACGACATATCTTGGCTCTGTTGGTCAGCACAAGCACCTTTAGCGAGAAATTTAATCTGAGAAGACATTGGGGTTCCAGATCCCGGCTCATACCTCGCTCTGGTGAGTCCTAACTTCTAGCCTCTCGAAGTACTCAGATTCTCATAAGGCTTTTCTGGAAGAAGGAGAACTTGCCCCTTTTCGTTTTCCCTTCCAAATCGTTGTATGGGCGTAACCGTTTTGTGTTCAACTGCTGCACAGATTCTTAGTGGAAAGGGAATGTGTGGCGCAAACCAACAAATAAATTGCCGAGAGCCTTATCAATTATCCTCCGTCACTACAGCGTAACGTATGGGATGGGCGAGGCCATTGTGTTAATACTGTGGCAGAGGAAGTTCGAGTACCCACTTGGAAGCACGGCACACTTCTGCTATGTCGATGACAGCGCCAAAAACTCGCTGATCCTCAGGATCAACACCAAAGTATGATTTCGTTGTGAGAGCGCGTAAGCGATGAATGAGTAATGTGGTTTGAGTATGCACTTTCATCTCTCTGTGCTCTCACCAAGCCAAAGAAATGGCACTTGCTCTCAGAAAGCACTGTTTGGCAACAAATCTCTGTTTTCTTTTTTCGATATCCGCCCCCGTCTATATAAATATCTGGGTAACGGACTGTATCAGCTGAATCTTAAGTCAGTGCTTACAGTCATTATAAAAAAATCTATGTAATCAGTGAGTGTCGGCGGAGTCACCGTTTCGTTCACAGAGCTGAGCTCAGTTGGTCTCGATTGTCTTCAAATACTTTATTACTTGCCTGAATATATCCGCACAATACCCTCCGGTTCCTACTTTATTACTTGCTGATTATATCCGCCCAATACCCTCCGCTTCCATAAAACCTTCTCTTTGCTAGGCCTACCAGGCCTTCCTTGCTTTCGGCTCTACTAATTTCTACACGAATCATCTAGTATGGCTAACGGGGAGTCATTGTAAATCAACATGTTGTTCTTTCTCGATACTTAAAAGGCACACAACCCAGGCAGAGGTCGTGTGAACGCTTCTCTTCGGTCTGTAGTATAGAACCCTAGAGGACAATCACAAATGTGGCGTTCTCGTGCACGGAAACCGACCGATAAGAGCGCTTGGGCCTTGCAAAGTAAGCTGCCCAAGCTGCAGACTTTTTTCTCTTATCAGGCTGTTGTCTGGCGCTCTCTCATCTGTAGCGCTCTCTCGCCCCATACTCTCCTCTCCGCGCTTAGTCTCTCATTCCCTTAGCACAGCCGGTTAGTAAGGTGAGTGAGCCCTTAACCTAATGGAGCGTTCATAGTTGGCGATTGTACGTGCGATCAGGCGAGTAGGCGAAGGATACGTATTGATTTGTTGCTCCGCCCATCGAGCGATCGCCTAATCGCCTACTCGCCTACTCGCCTACAACGCTCTATGGGCGGAGCAAACCAATCAATACGTATGTAGTCTTCCCGCCTAATCGCCTACTCGCCTGATCGCCTACTCGCCTACTCGCCTAATCGCCTAATCTATACGTATATTTTTCATTATAGACTAATCGCCTAATCGCCTAATCGCCTAATCGCACGTACGATCGCCAACTATGAACGCTCCATAAGCGTTTTTGACGGATTCTTTTCCTTTTTTCTTACTGCCGGCCCACTTCGCACCAATACATTCGCATTCGTGTGCAAGAGCCACACCAATGTGATCCTGGGGCATGCCTTCAGGTAAAAATGAAAATCCAGGCACATGCTGAATGAGTAGCGAGGCACTTGATAAATTAGTTCCTCACGTTTTCTCTCAGAACCTCTCCGGTATATCCTCAAAAGTACTTACTTGTTATATGCTGAGATGTGAGCAAAAGCTTGGTTACAGACGGGATTTTAAACGCATATCTTCTTACGGCGCAATTCTACTACCACTTACCCTACCGCGAGGCCATTTTACACTGGTTCAGCTTTTGATGGTATATTTACCATACTGGCCAATTTCAGTTTTTACAACACTTTTTCGAGATTAAGTATAAGTATAAGTTTATTACGTCTGCAAAAGGCACACGTGGAAAAGAAAATGAGCACCTCTATACAAAGAACAGTGTGCTTATAAACAAAAAACTCAAATACTAAAACAGGTAACTTCGGAATCAGTCTCACAAAACTATGACTCTTGGTTCCTCAGTATTGTGACTATACGATGCTTGAACTGAGCTTGTGACAGAGTAACCGGTATGTTCTTTGCAATGTTTATATAATCACTACCAGCTCTATACGTGAAGCTTTTGGCACGTAGATTAGTTTTAGGTCGCGTTAAGGAGATTTTCATAGAACCTCCCCTAGTTCTCGAACGTGTCATCTTAAAGACATTAAAGCATAAAAGCAAGTGATAATTTGGACTTAGCTCAGAACCTCACAAACAAAGACCTTGTATCAGCGACGACCCCATTACGAACTAAGCAGGCCCCTCAAAAAACTCCTACGCCAAAATTTCAAAAGATAGTAATTCCAACGAAGCTATCCTACTAATGCAGTTTGAGGTTGGATACTCAAAACCCCTATTGAAATCAATCCATTGCGATCCTGTCGAACTTCACGCCTGATTTTTTTGGCCGAACTGCTTGGTAGAGGTCGATATCGACGTGAACAAGCAACGAACGAATCCCGATCTCAGAAATTGGAGCAAATCGTGATAAAATCAAAGGAGCGCACTTCCATTTGCAATTTCCATGGAATTTGTGCTCCCTCCCCCCCACATCGTGTGTCTCCTCACAGAATGTATGTATGTGGCGCTGTTAACAGTATGCAGCCACTCATCATCGTGGCAAATTGTGTGGTCAGTGTAGATTTCATATGGGTGGGCACACGGTGTCCCCATCGGTCCCCTCTATTGTAGCATTAATGCTAACCTGCTTATTTTTCACTCCACCTACCTGAGAGTATTTCTCCGAGCGAAGGTGCAGCTATTGAAATGGTAGAAACTGACCGTAAATTTATTTATGCGAAATTTCATAATTTCGAAATTTTCTACAGAACGTGGAGAGATTCCTTTGATAGCTGCTCTTCCTGAAGCATGGTGATACTTTCACCGATTGAAACTACTTCCTTCAGCTCCTTCGCTCAATGTTGTCCAACAAACGGCCTAACCTTTGTGGAGAGTATTTCGCCCATAAACCCTCAAGATCTTAGGCAGAATATAGAGCTGGAACATTCTTTATTATCACTCACTTCATTTGTTCAAGGGCTATGGTGTATTTTTATCTGTGTGCTGTACTTACACTCGCCAAAATTGTTCGGTCGACTTTTTCCGCCGTCCATTACTGTAGCAAAATGACAGTATGGTAGTGTTTTATAGATATGGCTGTAAAGCTGACAATCGCTATAGCGTTACTACTACTAGCAGCGGCCGTGGCCGCTCCAGATTCGGACAAGGAACATGGTCTGGTTCGTCGGAAACGACAGTTCGCGCTTTCCATTTACCTTTGTGGCTCGTATCCGAATCAGTACCCCTCTTATTATCGTAAGTCTCTAATTTCAATTTTTTATTTTTATTTGTTCCTGCTCTTGCTCTCTATTCCAATCATTGCAAGGTTTTTCGCAATCATCTTGTTGATTCAGCTTCAGTGCGTCCACCAAGTAAATATATAAATAAATAATTTATTTCGGTTGCTAGAATTTTTGAAGCAAGTCACTTTCCACTATTTTTTTTCAGCATGTGGTCCATGCTACATAAACTGCTACACAACAACAACATACACATACTCCGTCCCCGTCATCTACACGCCGTACATCATCAGCCAGCCGAGTACCGTCTTCCCGGGAGCAACACAAGCTCAGCGATGCATTGGTTGGTGATTACGTATCTTGATAATTTTGCGGATCCGTTCTGGGTATACAAACTCTTGAGAAATCCCACCTTAAAGGCATGCCCCAGGATCGCACTGGTGTGGCTCTTGCACACGAATGTGAATGTATCGGTGCCAAGTGGGCCGGCAGTGAAGAAAAAAGGAAAAGAATCCGTCGAAAACGCTCAGGTTGAGGGCTCACTCACCTTCCTAATTGGCTGTGCTAAGGAACGAGAGACTAAGCGCGAAGAGGAGAGTATGGGGCGAGAGAGCGCATCAGATGAGAGAGCACCAGACAACGGCCTGATAAGAGAGCTCGTTCGCTGCAGCTCGAGCAGCTTACTTTGCAAGCCCAAAGCGTTCTTGTCGGTCGAATTCCGTGCACGTGAACGCCACATTTGTGATTGTCCCCTAGGGTTCTATACTTCTGACCGAAGAGAAGAGTTCACACGACCTCTGCCTGGGTTGTGCCTTTAAAACTACTGTATACTTTTTTGCACGAGCGACTACAAGAGGAGGTTCATTGACTAAGGTTAACTGCGTAATAGCGACCACCCGTTTATCCTTGCTTAGATAATAGTACAAAGAGACGCCTGATTTGCACAACTCTCCGTCACAGTAGTGGCCAGAAATTCATGAACAAACGGTTTTTTCATAACTTCTCTTTAGAAGTTCACTGCAACGTCCTCCAAATTTGCAACAATTATTAACTACGTGTTTTATGATCCACACAGAAAATCTCAACCTTCAGCTCAAATTTGGGTTCAGAAAATTTTAGATTTTTCGAAATTAATGAAGGCAGGTGAAAGATCACTTGATTCGTTTATTTGATTTAAATAGTGTATAATCCAACAGAGCAGTCGATTAAGCAGTCACTAACAATAAGTCCTTTAAGATTCTCGAAAAATCTTAAAAATTTTAAACCCAAATTTGAGCTGAAGGTTGAAATTCTCTGTGTGGACCATAAAACACGCATTTAGTAAATGTTGCAAATCTGGAGACGTTGCAGTGACTTTCAAAAGAGAAATCATGAAAAAACCGTTTGTTCATAATTTCTGGCCACTATACAGCCTGGAACGGAAGGGCTTTCAGTAGTAGAAAGGAGACCCTTCCTCTATCCTCTCAAAGGCGACTCCTTTGATAAACCTCTCTGTGTCCGTTCCGTCAATTACACTAAGTATAAATTGCGCCATTCAACACACTCTGCCCAATCCTCAAAGCTGGTGCAAAGGCGCTACGCTTGACGCTTCACATTATACACTGCTCTCAACCTCGACGTGAAGTGTTTCCAAAACTTATCTTTGCTGATATCACTTGTCCCTACTCGTCCAAAATGATAGACCCTTATCTTCAACGCCTTTAAGAGAGGCCCACATCGGTGCTGGCGTCATCAATCTGAACGCTACGCTCTGCCTCTCCGCTGAACGGCTGGAGTCCCGCGAGAAGAGACCAGTAATAAGGTAGTTAATAGTTATACTCGTACAGCCACGAGGGGCACTTATCTGCGGGTTATGCGGATTGGGTTCATCCTGTTTGCCATCTTGAAGCAGTGATTTTATCAATGAAAATAGCACAGTGACTCCAACTGACTGCGCAGCAAAGCAAAATGATTTCCCTTTCCTGCAGCGCAACTGGCGTGATATTGACTCCTCTCTCGTCGTCTCTAGCCGTAAAGAAGAGAGAGCGGTACGTTGGAGACGGCAGCTCCGAAGAGAGTCCCATAAATGCGCAAATCAAGGGGCAAGGGGTCCTATTTTCTCTGAGCCATTAGCTAGGTTTTCCTTCTTTCGTGCACCATCTCTAACCTAATTCCCAATGGGCTCCTTTTTCATCGTGAAATCCGTCTTCAAGCATCAAGCGAGTAGTCCATTTTTACATTTACCACAATAGTATTTGTACCACAATAGTATTCGGTAATACATGGGCTATATAATTCTGAACCACGATGATTCTTGCTCTGGACCTTATTCACACCAATGTAATAATACCCTCTGCTTTTCCAGTTTGACCAAAATCTCGGGGATCTCGGAAACGTGTGCTCAGGAGATATTGATGCTAACAATAAGAGCAAATAACAGTTTCGGGCCACAAAAAATCCGTTCCACATATACATCTAGCATGGGTCATTCGGGACCCAGACCTCCAACACGGCCTTAATTTTCTGTTTTGTTACTAACCATCTAGAAAACCCTGATGCATAGCTCCTGGTGAAGGACAAGATGGACCATCTTTCTTTCCTTCGGAGTGATTTTGTTCTTACGTATTATTTTTTCCAATTCGTCACCAAATGGCGCTGCCTACAAAAACAAATGTCGTACTTATAATCGAGTCACTACGCAACTCTGCAGTAGACATTGGATTTTAAACCGATTTGA